TTGATCACACTGAGGAGATCACTAAAAATTCTGTTGGGAAGTTTGGAAGATGACTGCTGGCAGGTACACGGAAGGCTAAGCAAATGAAAACAAAACAGAATGAAACAAAACAAAACTTGTTGTTTTTTTAAGGGAAATATGAGTTGCCTCAGAAAGAAAATACATAATACAACTGTACACCCGGCTCCACCGGCCATTACAGTCGTGTGGTCATCAGAATGTGAGCATGGACAACGACGAACCTGATCAGGTAATGCAGCCACACAACATAATAAACACAGTGTCCAAAACAGATGACTCCAGAACGAGCAGCGGAAGCCCATGATTTAGGAGACAGGTGTAACTATCAGGAAATGGAAAACAGCCACGTCTGGGGAGCAGCACGAGGATGATGAGGGACTGGGCACTGCTGTTCTCCACACAGTCCTCTCAGGAGTAGTCCACTGACCGAGTTCTCTGTGTGACTAACTGATAAAAAGTAAAATCCCAAATCAGAAACGACACTGGGTTGGCAAAGCCAGCCAGACAAGGGGGTGACACTGGTCAGAGCCCCACCAATGGGCGCTCTCTGCCCTGGGGAGTCAGAGGTGGACGGGAGCATCAACATTCAGAGCACACCGCAGGGAAAGCACATCAACCAGACCAGGCACAGGCATAATGAGGAAGGTCACCCGGGAAGGGCTGTGAAGGAAAGGGCTGGGGAACTGAACCCTGGAGGGAGGGTACAGTTCTCAAGGAGCTTAAGAAGAAAGGCAGGAAAATACAGTGTGTGTTTTGAAAACACCAAGTAGTTCGGTCTGGCCAGCCAAAGGGCTGGTCCACACAGGGGCTGCGGGGACGGCACCCCGCCTTCTCAAGATCGGGCTTTGGGAAGCAGTACCCGCAGGGTACATAAGGCCAACTGGAGAGCCTAGAGGTCTAGAGCGCGGCGTGAGGACGGATCCTGGGCTTCTACTTTCTTGTCCTGTCCTGAGATTTTGTTCCCACCAGTCAACAGAGATGAATTTACTGTGAAGCCAATGCAGCTGGGGCTCCAAGGCTGCAGCGGCCCTCCCTGAGGCTCTGCGAGCTCCTTAGCACAGGGAACGCCTTTTTCAAGTGTGTAGAAGGCAGCTGTTCGAACTGCAGATGTAAGCACTGTCTCTTTCCACCATGACCTCCATTATATTTTGAGTCGGGTGGCACTGGAGTGGGTCCTGGCATTTTTGGCTATAGGCGAGTGGAGATGAAATTTACCTTGGGCTTGATGGGAGATATCTGCGGGGCTTGCTGTTACACCTGTCTGTAAGTTATCATTAGCCATCCTGTGTGGGAATGGCTTCCAGAAATGCTTCTACTGTCCACCGTGCTGACTGACTTGGCCTGGTGACATGAAGGGCAGGGCCAGAGGAACGAGTGTGCATGAGCTGTGGCAACTGGCACACGGGATCATGAAAGAAATAAGCAACCACATGGAGCTAGAAGCCAGAAAAGTCTTCCACCTCTTCCAACTAATGTAGAAAAGAAAACTGACAGGATTCTCAAATTTGATGGCAATCCTAAGAATCTATATAACCCTTCCCAATAATCAATGTGAAGCCCAAACAAACTTTCCTAAACTATCAATACTCAATTTCAATTAGTCGTGCTACAGGACAACTTGAACTTATCTTTCTATTGGCTCTATGGAAAAATACCACAAAATCCTTGTCATTCGAAGGCACAAAGAGCATGAAGCCAAAAATGGGAAAAAAGCATTAGAGAAGATTGAGAAGCAGCTAAAGAATTATTTTTATGCATCTTGTTTTATTGGTTAGCATCTTAAAATTTATATTGTCATGATCTTTCTTATTCCAAATAACGTTTATACCTAATTTTGATTTTGTAATTTTGTGTGTGTGTATATATATATATATTCTCCCCCCCCCCCCTTCAAGAGGGCTCCTAAACTATCTAAGCTTCAGGCCCAACAAAACCTGGATCTACTCCTATGGGACAATGAGAAAAAGCATTACTTCCGCTTTTTATCTAAAAAAAAAAAAGATAGTTTTTTTTAATCTAAAAAAGATTGTTTTTAATCTAAAAAAGATAGTTCCGTTCACACATCAAAGATGATAAACACCCATTTCAATGAATATTACCATTTGTACTTGTGGTGGTGATAGCAGTGGGACTAAAGTCACTGTCTTCCCCAAAGCCCCACAGCCGGGGGTGGGGATGGGGAGACACACGACCTGCTCCAGTGGCCCCAGCATGGGTGCAGGAATGGGTGGTGAAGAGGCAAGGAACAAGGGAGAAGGAGCCAGGGAGGAACTGTGGAAAGAGCAGCACTTTGGGGCAGGTGGCTTTTGTGAAGACCTCAGGATGGGGTAAAGGGGCAGTGGTGGAAAAGTATGTAGGGTTGCCCTGACCCAAACCTATGTCTGAAAGATGAAGGGCACCGACATTTATCTCTTGGGAGGTTCCTCCCCACCCTCCATGCCCCCAACACTACTTTCAGCATATAGAACCCTCAGGACTCAGGAATTCAGCACATAGAACTGTCTCAGGAGCAGCTGAGAGGAACAAACTTAATAAAATGGCCAAACTTTGGGTACTGGTGAGGGGGTGGGCATGCTGGACCACAAGGACACTGTAACTGGGCCAAATACTCCTTTAGCTAAGGAGGACTCAGAAAAGAATCACCACTAACTACCTTTTCATGCTTCTTTGGTCTATCCTCTGGGCTAAAGGCCAGATTTTCTCCAATCAGCACCCTATTCCTTAACATTATTAAGACAATCTGTCCCACTTTACACAGGTTGCAATGACCTTGTGTGGCTTCTGTTTGTTCCAGCCATAGACCATTCCAGCCACTCTCTCCTCCAGTGCCCGGCAGGCAGGAAGCATCGCATAATGCCCAAGAGGGAGCCCAGGACTCCAGGCTCCCTGACTGGACTCCTAATGGCAGAATCTTTATTTTACCCCTCCCCCACTCTCAAAAAAAAAGTTCTTTTGTTGTTGGCAAGCTGTGAAAACTTAAGATATCTCTTAATAAGACCCTCAGAATTGTGCCTGCCATATTGCCACTTCTATATAAGCATCTGTTCAAGAAAATAAATGTTTTAAAGACACTTCTGTTTCTTCAAGGATTTAAATTTGAAATACTGCAGAAACCCATAACAACTCACCAGGGTTTACTGTGTAGGGTCAGAATCCTAAACTGGCTTCTCCTTAAGCCTCAAGGAAGAAGAGTTTTATGGTAGGTTACTAAATATCCTGATGATGCTCACTCTGGAAAGGAAGTGAGGGGCCTGAGAGGGAAGGAGGGGGGAAGCAAGTGCTCTCTGCCCATAGTGGATCTGCTTTCCAGGAAGAATGTTTGTCCTGCAGCTACAAACTTCCGCATTCTAGGACTTAAGGTCTGGGGGGCTCCTTTTCCTATAGGAAGGAAAGGAGACAGAGCCACGGAATGAAATTTCACAACCCACCTTTTAAATCTTGCCTTCCTTACAAGCTGAATCTGGCATCCTTCAAACCACAGAGGGAGGGCCCTCCCACAAGATGTGTCTACTCATGTGTTGACCTAACTTTTAACGGGGATTAGAGGATTCACACCAAAGTAAAGCACTGTCCACCAAGCATGTGACAAATTCACGCTTGGTAACAGCCTGACTTTCACACCGAGGAAAAACCAGCAGAGCATTTTCATAGTGCTAGACCTGAGAGAGAAAATGCTGTTTGGATATAAAAAGTCAATCTGCTCACACTACTACTTCTTCAGATCACCAGAACACAATCACGAACCTAAACAAGGCAGGAGTAAGCCATCTCCCGACTCTAGCTTGACCCTGACCGGTCCTGGGACAACCACCATCGCACATTCACTGCACAAGGACCTGGGTCCTACAATGTGTCCGGCACTGCTTGGGGTACTGAGGAAAAGGTGGAGAACAAAGTGCAAAAATGAAAGTGAGAAAAGAGGAGCTGCACTCCCTTTTCAAACTCAAGTCACAGGTTCTCTTTGGCTATGCTGCTTGATTTTCATCCTCCTTCTGGTCAGTGTTAACAAGTTCCTCCAAACATTGAGTTGGAACCACTTTGCAGCTATGGGCTTGAGTAAGTACAGATTCGGGATGCTTGAGGAAAGACAAACAGCAAGCTCACCAGATCTCCTGAGGCAGGGGTTTAAACTGGGGGTAACCACACCCACGTCCTGGCAACAGGATCTATTCAAAGGTCCTTAAAAACAAACAGCTTGGGCATTCAAGCCTAGGAGGGCATCTTAAATCCCAGGACTTACTTACCTAGTCTATATATTCTTCTTTTTTTTTTTAAATAAAGATTTTATTTAGTTATTTGACAGAAAGAGATCATAAGTAGGCAGAGAGGCAGGCAGAGAGAGAGGAAGGGAAGCAGGCTCCCTGCTGAGCAGAGAGCCCGATGCGGGGCTCCATCCCAGGACCCTGAGACCATGACCTGAGCTGAAGGCAGAGGCCTAACCCACTGAGCCACCCAGGCGCCGCTAGTCTATATATTCTAACCTACTCTCTCCGACGCAAAGGTCAAGTCACCTACAGTTAGACATTCATTTAACTGCTAAAGGACAGCGGCCGCGTCGGGCATGCTTCATGGGGGGGCTGCCACCGGAGGAAGGTGCTCACCTCTCCGGGCTCCTGGGATGGAGAAGGTAATGGGACGGTCCGTGCAGTAAACCAACACAAAGACTTCTTTCACCATATCACGGCCCAGCACCTTCGGGCCGCGGATACCAGACGCCCACCGCACGCGGTCAGGCCTCGCCGGACTCACTCTGCACCCGCGGGCCGCTTCCCCTGGGGCGTTAAGCCCGCGGCCTTACGCTGCGCCGGCCCGGCTGCCCCGAGCCCTGGAGGGTCTCCTTCCCGTCCCACAGGACTTCTGCTCGGACTCTTCGAAGTTTTCAGTGGGCACCCAGAGGCCAGAGTGCCGCCCGGCCGGGTCCGCTGGGACTGTGCTCGCTGGGACCCTGCCGGGCGGGGGAGGAGGACCGTGCCGCTCACCTGTCCCGCCCGCAGCGCCAGCTGCACAGCCGCCTCGAAGCACTCCTCCCAAGGGCCCCCCGCGGGCGCCGCCTCGTCCTCGCTGCTCGGCTTCATCGTGGCCTCGCCGGGCCCCGCCACCTCTAGCCCTCGTCGCCGGGCCACCACCGGCTCCCGCCGCCCCGAAGCCAAGCTCAGCACTGCTTCCTTCCAATCCCGCCACTCCGCACCTCGGCCTCCACCCGCTCCACAGCTGTGCCCGCGGGAAGGGCGGGGAGCGAGCAGCCGCAGGGGTAGCCGCGCGGAGCGTCCCGCGTCCCGCCCCGGCCCTGCCCCGAGGCCCGCCCCTAACCCCGCCACCCCGCCCTTCTCTCGGCCGCACCTCCCACCCATCGCCCCCAAGGCGTCGGTCCCCCACCCCCTTCCGGCCTATAGCCCCGCCCCCCAGCACTGAGCCCCGCCCCTCCCAGCGAGGACTCCGGCGTCACCGGGAGCCCAGCTCCTCCTCGCCTCGCGTCCCTCTACCTCTGGCCCGCCCCTAGCCCCACCCTCCTCCCAGAGCCGCGCCCCTCCCCGTCGCGCCCCTCCCCGTCTCTCCGTTAGGCCCCGCCCAGAGACTCGCCCCGCCCCTCCAAGCCCCGCCCCACCCGCTCCACGCTGAACGCCCCCGCCCTCTCCGCACTCTCTGTACCCCGAGAAGGTTGGGTGCTGGGGACTGTGGGCCTCGGACAGAAGCACCCGAACAGGACTGGAGCAAGGTCTCGGGGTAGGGACCGTGAGCGCCCGTGGCCACGACTCCAGCCGGGCACCGGATATGCAAGGGGCCCCCCTGCGTCTGCGCAAGTTGCGGGCGCCTCCGGTCCGGTCCAGGCGGTCGGCGCGCACGTGGCCCGAGGGGCGGCCAGGCTTAAGGAGCTTCCTTCAGTAACTAACGGGTTGCTCTTCCTCTGCCGAAAGCCACGGGACGCCGGGGTTGTCCGCCTGCTCGGTCACCCGCGGGCGCCCGCCCTCACAAAGCGCCTGTGTTCCCAAATGTTTGGATGCAAGCGAGAAGCCTTCACCCCAGCTAAAAACCACACACTACGGTGACAGTGGGTTTAAAAAACTTGTCTGAACTCAGAACTCCGATGTGGAGCCCAAACTGTGACTAGTCTTTATTTGTAAAGAGGAGTGACCTTTTCGACCTTGTATTCTTCAATGCTGCTGTACACTGGCACCACTGAAACATAAATACAAGGCATTTCCTGAGAAGGTGTCTCGAGTTTCCAAGAGTTTAATTTCATAAGCTGCTCTGCCTCCCCTTTTATAAAATATGCTGACCCATATAAAATTATTCTGGAGTGTCACTTAGCCGTCTGGGAGAACAATGGGAGTTTGTACAAGAGCCTTGTTGGTACATCTTTTACACAACCTAACGATGGGATTAAACGTTTTTAGATTTTGTGAGCACGTTATGTTGAAACATCTTGTAGAGAAATGGTAGGTTTATGGTGTAAAGAGATGAAAATTGCAAACAATAAGAAATTAGGAAGCTAGAGCTGGTCAGGGTTTTAGTTTGCACTCCAGCCTTGCTTGGAAAACTAGGCAGAGAATTGCCCCAGCTCCCACAAAGGCCATTTGGGGGCAGCTAAAGGCATGGTCTGCTCCATCTTTTTTGTTCTCATTTTTTGTTTTTGTTTTTGTTTTTCAAGATATGGATCTAGAAAAAACACAAGACTATGTTCTGAATGCTTCACTTTAAAACTAAACGCATTCAGCTGTGGATCTTCATGGCTGATTTTCATGAGAGGTCCCTTCCAACACCGAGCAAAATTTGAAGTTAACAAAATTTCTATTTGGTGCCTTCTTGGCTCACCTTTCTGCTCACATCTCCCCCCCACCCCCCCCCCCCCAGCTGTCCTGGACCAAACTGGGTGCTCAATTATATCTTCAGATAAAGCTCTTCTATCTAAACATCTAGAGAAAAAGACTTCATAACTTCATTGCTTAACTCTGAGATATCTTAAGGTAGAATCATGTGGTTTGGAATGAAGTTTGGAGCCAGCCAGATTTTCCTAAGTTAAAATATTGGCCTCGTTTCTTCCTTGCTGTGTGGATTTGAGCAAATTACAAATAACCGTCTCTTTGCTTCAGTTTCAATTGTTCCTCAAAAGATGATTTTTGGGGGGTATTATATGGGCTCCCATCCAGGTGTTTGGCACTTGTGTGTTTGCTCTGGTTATTAAAGACTGGCTCACCAGTGATCAGCATATCGCTTGGCACATAATAGGAATTTAGTAATTATCTGTTAATCATTGAAGATTGAAATCAGCTTGTCTAATAGATTATCCAAGTTTCTCATGCTTTACTGACCATTCTCCGTGGAAACAACATAGTTCTTTCACCATCATGACTTGTTTGCTAGTCCGCTTGTTACCTCCTTCAGAGGCCCTGGGAAATCACATTTACTTTGTTAAACCCCTAGAGCACAGTGTTCTGCCTTGAAAAACTACTATTTAACTGTCCTTTCTACCCTGACCCTGAGGATGCAGCCTCATTGGACACTCTAGTTCCATCAGGAGATGGAATGCAAGGTGACTGTGCAGAAGCCAAAGGGTTGGTGGGGGGAGGAGGCAGTGAGAGAGTAGAAGGGCAGACAGGACAGATTGTCTCCTTTTTGCCGTGCCTTTTATACCCTTATTAGTCTGGGATTCCTCTCTCCTGAGGTCCTTTCTGGAACAAAGCAAAGTCTAAATAAAATGTCAACAAAGTTCTTCTTTCTACGTACTTCTAGTTTACTCCAGCTTACTTTGATATCCGATTCTCCAGGGCCAAGACTCACTGTGACATTTGAGGAGTTTTGTTGGTTCATCTCATCTGAATTCCTAGAAGTAGGCCCAGGATAAAGTTTGACTGTTCTTAGCCACGGGTGTAGAAAGTTGGTGTTATGGGCTGAAGCTTGTTGCCCCCAAAATTCATATGTTGAAGGCCTAACCACTAGCACCTCAGAATGTGACTGTACTTGGAGACAGGGCTTTTAAATAGATAATTATGTTAAAATGAGGTTGTTAGGGTGAGCCCCAATCCAATATGACTGGTATCTTTATAAGGAAAGGGATTTGAAGGCATGCCTGAGTGGCTCAGTCAGTCGAGCGTCTGACTAGGTTTCGGCTCAGATCATGATCTTAGAGTCCTGAGATCGAGCCCCTTGTCCGGCTTGGTGCTTAGTGGGGAGTTTTCCTGAGAGTCTCTCCTTCCCCCCCTGCCACTACCACTGTGCTCTCTCTCTAAAATAAATAAATAAATCTTTAAAAAGAGAGAGAAAGAGGGAGGAAGGAAAGAAGGAAGGAAGGAAAGGGAATTTGGGCACAGACACAAAAAGAGAAGATCAGCACGAGCCGAGAAGAGAGGCCTCATGGGAAACCAGACCTATGGACACCTTGACCTTCTATTTCTTGCCTCCAGAACTGTGAGAAAATACATTTCTAAGTCACTCAGTCTGGGAGCTTGAGGCAGTCATAGCAGTTTCCCAAAGAAGGCTGCCTGTGCATCACCACACTTAGGGTTATAAGGAGCTTTTCTCAGCCAAGAGGTCTTGCAGAGGGCCATAGGGAGCCTGGGTCTCCAGGATGGAACAACAGAGCCAACTCTTCCGCCCACCACCCAGCTCCCTGCCAAGCTCTGTGCATGTGTGTGTGTGGGGTGGGGAGAGGTCACTTACGCATAATCAGAGTCAGCCAACATCACAACTTCTCATGAAATTGAGTCAGACAGGTGATGACCCACAAATGCTCTGTATTTAAATATTGCCCAACATATTGTGCATGACTCCACAACAAAGGACAGTCCAGGAGTCCTTGCAAAGCTCTGTTCCAGAGGAGTTGTCTATTAAAAAAACATTCTCTGAAGGTTATATGTCCTCATTTACTTCCATGGGAAAACTAGAGATGCTTTTTCCTACTCCGGAAAAACTCTCCAAGTCATTATTCCCATTGAGGAAGGGTTTAGTGTGGTGGTCATTACCCCTCCTGCTGAATGTGACCCTGTACCAGATAATCCCTGAGAATTCACCAGGTGTGCTGGCTTTCAGAATTTTGCAAAGCTTTTCTAGGGCTCCTGTTTCTTCTTGCTATTTTCTCAACTCACTGCTTACTTGGATTCTGTGTCTGTGGATCCCACCATCATAGATCCTGGAGACAGTGAAATTATACTTCAATAAGTTCAGATGCCACCTTCATCATGTTAACCTAACTTGCAAGACCTCAGTCCTGTAAAATAAATTTCCAATATTTCCTGTTCCATGCACTTGAAATTCTTCACGAGAGGTTTTATAAAATTAATCATACAAGCAAAGCAGATGGTATTTCACAATCCAACTCTTTATTTCCCAGCGACTGGATTCTTTCTAGCTTCCCCTCCTGCCGATGGCAGAAAACTTACTTCTAGGACAACTCAGATATGTCCGTGAATTTTCAGACTTTCCAAGTTCAAAATTCAACTAATTCAGCTTTGGGCTGTCTCCCCTTTCCCTAGGTGGGTCCATGCAAAGAGGTCTCAGCCTTGGGAGAAGACCTTCCCCCTTGAACCTCGCTCTATCTTGCGCTAACAGGAGGCTGAGATGGGACATGCCCCATCCAGGCTACTATGCTCGTTCCCGCTTTTGACAGCCTTGGCCATCCTGATTTGGGGTACTGACAGATGGTGCTAGTTTTTCCCTCGGCCCCTGGGCCCTTTCGGGTCTTGGGAACCCCTCTCTGGGGACACTGCGGATATGGGATGCTCGCCAGGCAAGGTTCCCAGCTTAGTCTTTCCAGCTTGGACATTTTCGCTTTTGCTGGCTCACCCTCCCCCAAGCTGATGTCGTGGGGAAGGAAATCAGGTCGTGTATGCTTCCCAGATCCAGCCAGGAAGGGGCCCAGGCTTCCTAAAGTTTTCCAGGAAAAGATCGCCTCTCCCGCTTCCCCCAGCTCCGCCCTTCTGCAGGAGTGGGCTGAGTGGCTGGCCTTAAGCTTTAAGTCTTCCCTCCCAGGGCTCCTCCTCCGCCCCTCCCCCATCGCGTTCTACTAAGGGTGGGAGGGATACAGCCTCTGCCTCACCATATCTTTTTTCAGAATTTTTGTTTAGTCAGCACTGACCAAATGGGCAAGCTTTGTTCTGAGTTCTCATGATAGTACCCCTCCCACCCCCCAAGGGTAACTCACCCTCGGATCTCACTGCCTGAAGGGGGAAGTTTCTTGGGGTTGCAAATGAAAGGCGACGGGACCTTACTAAGAAACTCCTCCATCTGCCTGTATTTTA